ATTAGCTACACAGTCATGTTCACAGTTTAGATTAATGGTTTCTGGATCATCAGCGCTTCCTATTCCTATTAGAAATTCTTGAAAAGAAATTAGTGGCGGAGTTACGTTATTGGAAAGATATGGAATGAGTGAGATAGGAATGGGATTAAGTCATGAATATGAAGCTGAAAAAAGATTTGAGGTAAATATAATATTCTTAGTTTATAAATATTTTATTTATATATCTATATGCATTCATTTTCTATAGGGATGTGTTGGAGTACCTTTACCAGGTGTACAAGTAAGGTTAATGTCAGAAGATGATAAAGATATTACTACGTCAGTTGAACAACCAGGGGAATTGCATGTAAAGGGGCCAAATGTATTTAAAGAGTATGCTATAAATCTACTAATAAATTTAACTATAGTTGAATATGTCAGGCCAAACAAACTTAATTCTTTGTTTAATATAAGGTAACTTGTAAAAGAGGATGGGCAATACAAATTAAAACTACAATAATTTTATTGGTGAAAAAATAAAAATATTTACTTTAATTAATACTACAATATATTTGTAATATCAAAGAAAAACCCGTATATCTAAAAATAGATTATTATAAATTTTATAATGATCTATTTTTAAATATACGGGTTTTTCTTTGACAGTACTCATATATATATGCATCAAATTTATAAATTTTTAAAAAACAAAGGGGTTGTGTTAAACAAAAAATTAAATTGGTATGGCCTTATTATAAATTATTGTGTTTAATAAATAGTATATTTCTAACAGATATTGGAATAGGCCTGAGGCTACTAAAAAGGAATTTACTAAAGATGGATGGTATGAATGATTAAGTCACAATTTGTATTTAAGATGCTTATTTGTGATTTATTTTTTCTTTTTATTTAAAGGTTTAAAACAGGAGATATAGCAATGATAACAGCCAAAGAAAAAGTTTTCAAAATTCTTGGTAGACAAAGTGTCGATATTATTAAAGTATAATTTTATATATAATGAATTAATAAATATGTCAAGCTATAACTATGCAATTGGCTAATATATATTAATATATACTTCTTTTAACAAAGAGCGGATCATATAAAATTTCAGCTTTAGAGATTGAGAAAGAATTATTATCACATCCTGATATACAAGAAGTTTCTATTGTAGGTGTTGAAGATGCAGAATGGGGTCAAAAAGTTGGTGCTATAGTTGTT